ATATATCTCACTTTGGTTGTCTCTCTCTCGTTTCAGGTTTTTCTTAGTTTTTTCTCCCTCTTCTCCCTGAGGTTGGGGCGGGGGGGGACTTCTGGTGGTAAGGTTTGGAGACTTGGCAGGGAGCCAGCTTCAAACCATATCAGTGGGTTAGGACCAATTGTTTGTTTGTGTGATTGTGCTTGCTATGTTGTTTTAATAAATTGTTATTCTGACTTGTGGTCTCTCCTTTGAGTTGAGTTCATTTCCCCTGCTGGTTGACTCTTAAACTAGCACATACTTCCTTATTTAGTGCACACTCTTGAAGCGCAACCCTTTCAGCCCTTTTTTTCTCTTTTTATAATAAAGCCTGTCCTGTTCATCCCATTCCTCACTTATTTATTTTCTGCTTCCTCCTCTGTTGTTCCCGGTTTAAAGCTTTTATCAGGTTGGCCAGTCTGTTGGCAAAGAAGTTTTTGCCTGATTGAATCAGGTGGGTCTCATCACTTCCAAAGAGCCCTCAGTCCTCCAAAAGGATCCCATGGTCATAGAAACCAAGTCCATTTGTCAATGCCAGCTGTGTAACCAACTGTTGACCACCAGGATTCATCCACTCTTCCTTCTCTCCACCTCCCCCCTCACCAGCAGGATCAAGGAGAATCCCATGTGGGCCCACACACCCTTGGCCATCACCCCATGTGAGTCAGCACAGACAGGCAGCTGGAACAGACACAGACTCAGGACTAGAACACAAACAGTAAATTTGTTTCCATTACCTTGATAACCCTGGGAATCTCAAAGCAACACCCAGGCAGAGGCACAAACAGAGACAGTGGTTTCTGAACTGGGTCTGTGCTGGAGGGTCACGGGCTGCAGTTCACTCTGGGTTATCAAGGGTTATTCCCCACTGCAAGGTCACATGAGTGATTTACAATCCTCCTCACCTCTCTTCTGCTCTTAACCCATTCCTCCCAACACTCCCAGAGCCTGCCTGCTACTTCCCAGGACTACCATGGCACTGTCATTAATACCCCCAAGGAAGAGGAGGGGTAATGGACTGCAGGTGCAATAAGATGGGCAAGTCCATTAAAAGTGACCCCAGTTTGAGTCCATGGCAAGGAGATGACTGGTCCAGCAGCACAGAGCCTTCCACTGTTGTCACTCACCACTTTTTCTGGTGCTCCCGTGTGGCTCGTGGGCGATGGGCTCAGACACCTTGTTTGGCAGAACTCCCAGCTCCTCCTTTGCCAGGACAGCACGGAGTCTACTCTGTGGTTGCAAATCTTCATGTGAAACAAGAGCCTTCACCTTGGTGCCAGGAGCTCCCAGCCTTTGTCACCATGGCAACCTCCATTTCCCATCCTAGTGGGCACAGACTCAACCTGCCTCTCCTTTGGTAGAAAAGGGAGAAGTGGGCTCTTGAAGCTGCAGAGACTCAGAGGTGGAGTCCATCTTTTGCCATCAAGGTCCAGATTGTGTTAATGCTGCACAAGTTGATCATCATGAAAGATTTGATAATTCTGCAACAGCTCCTTTAATCTCTGATAGTCACTCCCATGGCCACAGCGCCTCTACATAACAAAGAACCATCATTTAGCCTACTTTCTCATCTTACCCAAAGCAGCCTAAATACTTTCAAAGGTACTAAGTGACCCCCCAGACACCAATTTTAAGAGCCAAGAGAGGCACATTTCTCATGCTTCTGAGCATGACACCAAATTACTGGTGAAAATATAGACAACTTCCTGCAAGTCAGAAGAATTTTCTGAAATGCTTTGAAATAACACTATGTGTACTGATTTTTTTCCTGCTTTCTATCCAGCTTAACTTCATCAGTTTTCAGAGGTGTCATGTAATCCCCAAGTTTTCATTTTTAATTCAACCTTGCTGATATTTTCTTAGACCGTTCCTTCAAAGCCATATTGTGTTTCTTCATGTGGTATGTTGGGTCTTGAACCACTTGAGAAGTCACGTGACTGCCTGTATAATCCAAAATTCTGTGTAGTGGAAGAGAGGCAGTTTTTGCAATGAAATACATCACTGTGTACGGGGGCTGGAGTACCACAATGATATAAACAGCACAGGGCCCTGTACAAAAACCCAAAGAAGGTAAAAAAAGCAATATATTTTGGGAAGGAAAGGAGATGGGTGACTGTAATGATTAAAGAGACAAATAGAGCATTCTTTTTATATTTCTGTTTATCCTGGAAAGATAGAGCTCATGGAGTCTCTAAAATATGGAAGAAAGGGTGAACTTGGAAGTCCTATACTCAATCAAGCTATTTGAAGTCATTAACTATTCCATTATTGTTTTTCTCTTTCCAGTTTTGGAAGAAAATATGCCTCTGGATACCCTCAAGGAGTTGCACACATGGATAATTAGGAAAAATGTCTAACTTTTCATCTCCTGTTTTTTCTACCCTTTTGATTACCACGTGGAAAGAGTGATTTATTGCAATGAGTATTAGCAGTGTGAGGATGATAAGCTTGTATTTGGACCAGGGACCACCGTCACAGTTGTACCAAGTAAGTACCTTTTTTTATCTATTTCTAAAACTTGTGTTAAAATTAAAGTGGGGAAAGAAAAAGGAATCTAATGGTTTGGGTTCACTGCAAGAATTTTCTGCTGCAATAATCCCTTGAGTGCACTCTCTCTCTCCAGCCAGGCTTTCAAGCCAAATCCTCAGCTTGGAGCTGCTTAGGAAGGTTTCACAGGAACAACTGACCTAACTCTGTGCAACACCTTCATTCCATGATCCCCAAACACCAGGTGTGCACTACTGAACATGTTACAATTTATTCCCAGTTTGGACACCACTCTGGCCCAAACTGACTCTGAAGGCTCCTCTTCTCCAGTGGAT